GGGAGGATCTATCTATAAATTCTCACATTTTTTACATAAAAAAACACTCAATATCTCAATCCATCTCTCATTCTCTCATTCTCTCAATTTATCAATCTCTCAATCTTATTATCTCTATTTAATTTTTATACATTTAATATTCATATAATAATATAAAAATTTTATACATTAAAATTTTGAAAATTTCGAAATTTTTTCAAATTTTTCAAAATTTTAAATATTATTAATTTTTAAATATATTCTTTAATCTTTAAATAATTTAAATATATTCTTTATTTTTTGAAATTTTCGAAATTTTAATATATAAAATTTCGAATTTTTTTTAATTTTTCTAAAAGTAATATAATATTTTAATATCAAAAAAATATATATTAAAATGTCGAGAGAGTCCGGTAGACGGTCCGTGGATATCGGCGACGTCAACCAAAGATTGAGTAAAGGCAAAGCTAAAGCCACCTCCGACGGTTCGACCTCACGCGGACACGGTTCTCGAGGAAGACACTTCGTCTCTTCGTTTCCTACTGTCCCAGATCATTTAATCGGGGACGCTATGACGGATGAAGAATTCAACCAGATTTATTCTGGTAGAGGAGACGCGAATCTCCCCACTCTTGATAGTCTATTCGAGGATGTTGATGAAGCAAAATTGGATAATCTTGATGGGACGATGTGCCTACACCGCAAAGCAACGACGTCGACGTGGAGGCAGGTGAGCCCGAGACCTCTCGAGGTCCGGACAAAGGTAAAAAAATATAAATCAGAATTATTTGTTTATCATTTTGACAAAGACACAAAAGATGGCATAGTTTATGGAACTTGTAAACATTGCGGGACCGTTATAAAAATGGGAGTTTCCGGCGGTTATGGCGGTCCGGAAAAACACCTAAGGTCGAGGCATCCCGTGGAGTACGCCAAATACGAGGCCAAAAAAAGGGAGGACAAAAAGTGCAAACCCAAATTTCTCGGTTTGCTAACAGAGGTAAGGGCGGCCTTTTTGCTTATAGCGACGAGCAAAATAGGCAAAAAATGGCCGAAATGATTTGTGAAGAAAATTTGCCATACATGTTTTCTGAAAAACTTGGTTTTATTGATTATTGTCAACAGGCATTATGTAACGCCCCAAAACATACCCTAGAATTATTAATGAATAAATAATCAATTAATCACAATTGTTTTGATTAAAATAAATTATTGTTGGGCTTTGGGCCGATATGAAATTTGTTTTGACATCTAATATCAAAATCTGGAAAAGTCTCATAGAGATAAATCCAATATGTGGACTATTTGTGTAGTCTTGATTGGGAACCTGAGTACAGACCCAAATCAAGAGTAAATAAAGAATTTGTTTAGAATGTAAATATTGAAATGATTTGTTGAAATAAATCATGAGAATAATTGATCTGAATTAAATGAGAGAACCTTTTATGAGGAAGGTCAATTAAACCAATTTTGACTCTGTTAAAGTCAAACACCCAAAAATGTGGTGTCAGAAAAAGTATAATGAATGAATATAAAAATTATATCGTTGGATAGAGTTCGACTGTCTGATCGCAACGGTGCAAACGTATTTTAATTCGGAGAAAGTTGGACCAAAAAGTGTACCCCGACTAGGACCAAATTAGTCCCAATCAGGGAAGATTCGTAGCAATCAGACTAAATCAGCCGACCTTCCCATTTTGCCGATCGTGAGTCACCACTGACTCAACTCCATTAGCTTCTTCTTCTTCACCAATATATAAGGAAGACCTCTCTTCCTCATTTCTTCACCATTCTCCCTCAAATTTCTTCTAAAAGGAAGCCTTGAGTGTAAAGAGTGTTGTGGTGCCGTCAATTTGGTGAGAGGTCGCCGGAGTTGGGACTAATCGTCGCTGGAAGTTTCGTCGGAAAATTTCCAAAAACCCCGTTAAGCTTCGAGGTAAGCCCGTAGACATATCTAGTGACTAGAATGTTCATATAGATCAATTTTACGTTCATAAATGTTCATTTGGTTGAGTTTTGTGTTTGACATGTTTGAAGAACTAAGAATCGTAAACCATGATTTTGATGTTAAAACTATGAATTAATGATGCCAAAATGATCTATGAACCTAGGAGAACACTTTTATATACTTTAATTGAAGTTTGGTGAGTAAAAATGACATTTCCGCAAGTTGGCTCGAGGTAGAAGACGATGGATAATCGATTATCAACTTGAAAATCGATTATTCATCGTTCTGCAGATTTTTGTAACAAAGCTGAGCAACAGTCGATTATCAGAATGTGATAATCGACGGTGAGCCCTCTCTGAAGTTTGATAATCGATTATCAGAGTGTGATAATTGATTATCAGCCCATTCTGAACATCAGACAGTATATTATCAGAAGTGACAGTAGACTGTCACCCTACACTATTCAAGAAAATGAAGTTAATAGCTAATAATTGAATTTCCTATCATATATTAATCAATTGTTATTTAGAAAATATAATTTTTGAGTTATGAAATCATATATTTTGATACCAAACCATTATGATTAATAATAGGATGAATTCTTGGAATAAAGATGGTATTTTAACAACTAAAAGGAATCTTATGTGATGCATGACGGTAAGCTAGGGTGTTAACACTCGATGCTAGGCCGCTGATTGTTATTAGTTATTATGATGATTGATTGATTGTTCATTTTTATGAATATTATGGATTAATGATGATGAATATTCTGGATGAAATGATTGTTGAACTAAGAGTATGAATTGATAAATAATGTTGTTAAGGATATCTAGAAGAACTTTAAGATATACCTATTAGCTAATTAATGTTAAGACTATCTAGAAGACTTCTAGAATAGATCTTAGAATGAACTTATGAAAACATGAATANGGTGTTAACACTCGATGCTAGGCCGCTGATTGTTATTAGTTATTATGATGATTGATTGATTGTTCATTTTTATGAATATTATGGATTAATGATGATGAATATTCTGGATGAAATGATTGTTGAACTAAGAGTATGAATTGATAAATAATGTTGTTAAGGATATCTAGAAGAACTTTAAGATATACCTATTAGCTAATTAATGTTAAGACTATCTAGAAGACTTCTAGAATAGATCTTAGAATGAACTTATGAAAACATGAATAGTTGATGAATTAGATATAAATTCATAAATGGGATTCGTAGACCAAACTATAGGATTACTCGTTGGGAATGCCCGATCCATTGTTGACCAATCGCTATATTGTTGTTGCCTTAACTGACTACAGTTAAGTGTCCAAAATCATTTGCCTTAAACTAATGATAGTTTAAGTGTCTGATTGCCTTAACTGACTACAGTTAAGTATCCGAAATCAATTGCCTTAAACTAATGATAGTTTAAGTGTCTGATTAATAATTGCCTTTTAAGAATGTGATTATGGAAATTATGATTTGGCCTTAGACTAAGAATAGCTAAGAGCATTATTATGCTCTGGCCTTAGACTAAGAATAGCTAAGAGCGTTGTTATGATCTAGCCTTAGATTAAGAATAATTTAAGAGCACAATTGCAATAGTATCTGAATTGAATAAAATGTGTTGATATGAACTGAACAATACCAAAACTGTGAATGTCTGAAATGAACATTGTGTGCATGATATCAAATGATTGATTATGAATTTAGATTCAGTTTATATGGATGTTCGACACATTAGATATGCTTACTCAGCTTTACCGCTGAGCGTGTAGTGTGTTTTATTTGCTACACGCAGGTAAGCAGAAAGCACAATGTGATCCTGGCAGCAGATGGGGCGAGATTGTCGGGATGGATGTGACAAGTTTTGAAACAATTTATGATATGTCAATATGAAAATCACTTCCGCAATATTGTTGAATACTCCGTACTGTATATGTTATGAAAAATATTATTGGGATTAATAAAGTGTTTTTGAAAAGTTTTAAATTTTTACGATTACCAAGTTAAATACTTTAGTCCGAATGGGGCTACAGACCTGGATGGATTAGGGTGTTACACATTAAACCCTCAAGCACGAGGTTTTTCAAGAAAAACAATTAAACGAGAAATTATTCGCCAGTATAAAATGGAAAAAATTAATTTGGCAAATTTTTTTCTCAATTTTAATTCTCGTGTTGCTATTTGTTCTGATATTTGGGGTGAAACTTATCATAATTTCTCTTATATGGGTGTTACTTGTCATTGGATAGATAGTGATTGGATTATGCATAAACGTGTTCTTGCATTTCGTGATTTCAATGATCAGCATACTGCTGAAAATATTTTCCTATTGCTTCAGAGTATTCTGCGGGAATATAACTTATCTGAAAAAGTTTTTTCATTTGGTTTTGATAATGCTACTAATAATACTGCTGCTATTCCTAAACTTAGAGAAATCTGCCCACCGTCTACGACTATGAGTAGATTTCTGCATCAACGGTGTGCCTGTCATGTTTTAAATTTATGTGTTCAACAGGGACTACAAGCTATGGGCGGAGTTTTGACAAATATTAAAGAAGGAATTAAAAAAATTTGGGGGGCTCGTCTTATTTCGAGATCCTGGAAGATGTTCTGTAAGTCTAAGGGTAAAAAAGAAATAAGTTTTGCGAGAGATATCAACATTAGATGGAATAGAACTTACAAATTGATTGCACAGATCCTAAGATATAAAGAGGAACTTGCTGAATTTTTAGGGATGAACTTCGTATAATCATTAATCCTTTTGAATTTGTTATTGTTGAAAAATTGAATGCCGTATTAGAAGTTTTTAATAACGCAACTCTTACTTTTTCCCATGTTTACCAACCAACTACAAATACATTTTTTAAAGAGTGCATTACAATCGCAACATGTTTTCGTGAAAGTATGGCTGATCAAGATTTGTACCCTTATGTCTCTCCTATGAGAGATAAATGGTGTACTTATTATTTGTACATTCCTGATATTTATAAAATAGGTATTATTTGTGATCCACGATTTAAGATTAAAAATTTTAAAATTCTAATTGAGTATTACTACAATTGTTTTTTAGATAAAAATAATTATTACTACAGCTATTTAGTAGAATGGAAAAATGAAAGAGATAATGTTATAACTCTTTTTGAGGATTTGTTTAAGGAATATCAAGGGTTATACGGTACTGTACAAGAAGAAACAACACCACCTCCGCCCCCGAAATCAAAAAAAGATTTTGCTGGCATAGTCGGTGGCCTTCTTGCAAAGAAAGGGAAACGTGCCTAGTCTTCGACGAGTTCAAGTGGTACAATAGTAAGCTCGCACAACGAACTTGCTATGTACCAGGGTGTGCCATGCGATTACGATGACGACGATGTCGATTTTGACGTGCTCGGATGGTGGAAGTGGAACGAACACATGTTCCCATGTCTCGGCATGCTAGCAAGACAAGTGTTGTCCGTCCCAGTATCAACCGTAGCAGTTGAACGAGAATTCAGTGCTGGCGGCAACATTCTAACCGACTACCGAAGTTGTCTTAACGCTGAATCTCTGGAAACACTGGTTTGCAACCAAGATTGGCTCTTGGCAAGACGTCGGGCTCAAGAGTCATCGTACCAACTCGAATCAGAGCATTACATGAATGCAACCACAGATGGAAGTCCGAGTTCTGAAGAATAAGTTATAAATTTTTTTCATGTTAATGTAAGTATGTAATTAATTTTTTTAGGTGAGCGATATATAAGCTCCTTCGAGGGTTTCTTTACGGTTCTTTACCTCGTCGCTTTTTTTTGAACCGTCAGTGATGGGTAATAACCCAAGGATACCACTCGGTTGGTTCACCGGACTGGGTGGTGATGGAAGTAACAGCACGCGTCTTTCTCAGCCCGGGTTATTTGACCGGTTGGATGGGCAGACCAGACACCAATGCCCGAAGATCTGCTTTCAAAGTACACCTGGTGGGCTGGTCAGCAGCCTGACCGGTTGGATAATCACAGACGTGCTTGACGTGCTTAGGATTATTATAGATCCCCCAAAAAGCCTCATTTGTGAGGCATGCTTTAATTAATCTGCACGGCTTGTATTTGTAATAACTCCTATTATCATTAATAACAAATCGGGTTACAGGTGTTTCCACCTACAACCCTTCCGATTACTCATACTTAGTATTTGCATGATAATTTACACCATCAGTCAGGATATTAAATGTGGTTGTTCTTCAGTTAGTGTATTACTCATTTTCAATATTTAAATAACAACTACAATTTTAGATTTTTTATTTCATTCTTTCCTTAAACAATTGCAAATTTACAATTTTATACTTTAAAAATTTAAAATAAAAAGCAAAAAAAAATAGGGGGGGCGAACCCGGCTGGTCCGGGAACCGGAACCGGTACCGGCCGGCACGGTATCGACTCCGGTTACATGGGGTGGCGGTACCGGAACCGTCCCGGAACCGTACCGTGTCCACCCCTACTCTCTGCTGGTGACTCAGGTACAACGGTTGTCTGCTAACCTAATTGAATTACCATACAAGGAGCTTGATATTGTCCTTGGGATAGATTGGCTAACCAAACATCAGGGAATTATCAACTGTGGGCTACGCACAGTGAGACTAAAAACCGATGATGGTAGTGTTGTAGAAGTCAAGGGAGAGTTATTTCCTAAACCACTTGAGTTTATGTCGTTTGTACAAGCTAAGTGTTTTATCCGCAAGAAGTGTGAAGCTTTCCTTTTCAATGTTTGTGACACCCGAAAGTAGACCCCGAGTAGAAGGATATCCCCACAGTGTGCGATTTCCCCGATGTGTTTCTTGACGACCTTCCTAGCTTGCCACCGTTGAGGGAGGTGGAATTCTTTATCGACATAGTTCCAGGAACCGAATGAATCTCTACGACACCTAATCAAACCTACTAGTTCACAATCATTATATGATATCACATTGGTAAGGAACATTATAACAATTGTCACATGATATTAATAATCAACTTGTTTTCCACTTTCTAACTCCTAAACAACACAAGACCAAAACCACTTTACTTCTCACCAGGAAACATGAGACTCCTCTTTAGATCAAAGGGACATGCTCTAACCAACGAAGAAGTTCCTTGTTGGGTGGGTGGAACCTCCACCTAATGGATCCTAAATAGTTCACGAATCTCCGTGCATACGTTTTTACCCGACTCATAATTAGCCCTACAACCACCGCATGGTGTTACATACTCTTGACACACGTTGCTTTTACTAATTACATATTAGTCATAGAGTTCCTCTAGGTAGACTTGATCATCTTTTTCATTCATTTTTTATAGACTTTACATATTCTTTGGTGTTGGATCAACACACCATAATAATGCAAGTGTTGGATCAACACATTGTAACCATACAATATATCATAACTAATAATGGCCTAGTGTTGGGTGTTAACCCCCGCACTTACCATCATGGAACATGTAGAGTAGGGCTGAGCAATGGTCGGTTTTGGTCGGTTTCTTTTGAAACAAAAAAACCATTTTTTAAAAATGGTTGAAAACTGACCGAACCGAACCGATCATAAACTAAAACCGACCAAACCGAAACCGAAAACTGCCCATACAACAAAAAAACCGACCGAAAAACTGAATTTTAATTACTTTTATTTTGACTTTTTAATATAAATTCAAGAAACTAATTCTGCGAGGTAGATTGATATGCATTAAATTAGTTTAGATTAAGACTTTTCTACTGTCATTACTTTAGTAAGGTAGATTAATTTTTATTTGAATATACACTATCCATTTCATATAAAAATTGCACTTTTCTTATTAATATGTTCAAAACATTAACACATACTCCCTCCGTCCCCCAGTTTTTGTCCACTTTTGACTTTTGGAACTGTTCATCTAAGCACTTTGACTCATCAAATTTTCTCAATGTGTAAGCCTAAATATAGTCATGTGTGATCTTGTTTGATTTGTCTTAATATATAGATTATTAATATATAATTTCTATAATTTTTTAATATACAAATTACAAGATAAAATCTCTATATCTATATATACAATGATGAGAGCCGAAAATGAACAGTACTACCGCCTAAATTTTTGGGTCGGGTCACTGTTTAATAGGCTCACTGTAAATTATGGTTAAGAAGCCCAATAGTGTAGAAAGTAAACTGTAAAAAAACAAGGGGAATGCTAGGGGTACACCATTTTGGGGTACCCTATTTGTACACTATGCATCTTCACCCTTCATTTTTTTATTTTATTTTTAATGTTTTTGCTATTTTGCTTTTGAATGGTGGGGATGGAGTGGGGTACAAATGGTGTAAACCTAGCATTTTTGAAAAAACAATTTAGACCAAGGTATCAGGTACGCTTCTCCGCTAGCGTATTAGGGAAGCTTCGCCATAGAGATCTCCACCAGCGTCTCATTCTTCCGTCTATCACACCCGCTTCACAATCTTCATGTTTGTTTAGTATCAATGGAGAAAAAATATCGAGATCTCCACCAGCAATAGTGAAGGTACGTTAACGGCTGTCCGAATTCAGTGGAGGACGAACTCGAAGGTTGTGGCTAGGTATGTTGGCGATAGATTCTGACGAGAAAGACTTAGCCTAGCAAGACCACCAGTTACAGGTCTTCTACTTCATTCTCTTTTTCTTCTTATATTTGATTCTCTACTTAATGGGCTATCTAATTTTGTAGTTGAAAAAAAAGAAAATGATTTTGGCATCTAGATTGCATGCTATGTGTTTGATGAAATTCCTCAACGAAGCTTCTAGGAGTGGGAGAAGCGTGAGTTTTTATTCTTTTTACATTAAATAAAGATGTGAATTTTTCCTTTACTTCCGTTTCTTTTGAGATTATTTTCTCTGATTTCACTCAAAGATCCATCTATTTATCATTCATCATAATGCTAGATGATGTTGGGATTTTTTTGTTTACGAGATGTTTGAAAAATGCTAGAAACCAATACCAGCTATGGCAGCTAAAATGTTTTTTATGTCAGCAATATGGCAGCTAGAACATCGTGCAATTCCATCCGCAATAACGTCATATCAGCTCCCCAGTTAATATTGTCTTCCGGAGATGCAGGTGGTTTTATATCCTGGAGATGGTCGGTATAAAATTTTTTGTTTTATTTTGTCAAATCTGGGCTTCTCAAAACCATAGAAATGCAAGCAGAATAGGTGACAATTGATGGTTTTGTGAACTATGCAATTTGTGCTTTCTCCACAAGTATGGTTTATAGATACTGTGTGCTGGGTATATCTTGGTCCCTATTATTCTATGGATTGTTTGGAATCGTGTATAAACCTGGCTGCATATTATGAATGCATTTCATAACACTAAATGTAATACGACTAATTGCTCTACTGTCTCCAAGTTTTTTGTTCCATTTTCGGGTTTGGGTCAATTTAGCTCTAGGTTTGGAAAATTTGGGTCAATTTTCTAATGTTTCATGTTTTTCTATTTTCTAAATTAGGCAACTCTATTTAAATTTATAAATTTAGTTTCTTATTTACAAATGAACTACAAGAAAGTATCAGTCTACATTCGAGAGCGTGTTGTTTGATTTGGTTTGGTGGTCTACTCTTAAATCAACAACTTAACATGCAATACATATTATAAAGTTACATTCTAGATTTTTCTAGGGGGGGGGGGTGATGCTAGGTAGGAGGGCTCTATTCAAGGTAGACTTTATTTTACAAGCAACCGCGATCTTTGGAGAAATTGAGGGCGGTGGGGCTCACAACGGGTAGTGCAAAAATATTGTGATATTTTTTTGTTATTTTTGCTCAGTTTTGGCTCTCTTTCATCTCTACATCTCCTTTGTTCATTTTTAATTTTTTTCCATATTCTAAGTAGGTATGCTTATTATTGTCATACATGCAAAATGCATTTTCTCTATTTGGTTACACAAAGTAAATTAACATCATGTAAGTTTATTGCTATTAGAAAGACAAACTACTTTACTCTAATGACTATATTCTTGATTAGTTGAGATTATGATTACTGTTACAGTTAACTTATCATCATTCGTGATTAAGTTTCTCTATTATTCATTTCCATTTGTATTCTCACAGGTCATTGTTGCTGCCCCCAAGATGGTTGAAAATCAATGGGAACATGTCAACACGATACACTCATGCACATGGTGTACGCATTCACCTATCTCAAAGACATGAGTAAAAAGTGAGAAAAAATAGGTAGAAATACTTTGTTTAAATTTATTTAACTCAATTTGTCCTTTTATGTTGTTGAAAGATTTAGTTGATAATATCAAGTTACTGGCAACATTATCTTCAGATGTTAAAAGTTTAGTGATTAAGGGTTCAATGATTGTTCAGTTGTACTCATACTGATAATTTACATAGAATTATTTGTGGTTTCTTCATTTTTTCTTGCGGTATAGAGGTTTCATTATGCTTGAAACACTTTGAATGGGGTTGTGAATTCAATCTGCTTCAAACATGACAATGTTATTTGTATTTACAAAAGGATATGAAAGCCATGTGACCGTTCCCTAAAATTTATTAAAGAACTGATTTATACTTGCAAAGAATAGGTGAAAATATGAACCCTCTGAGTAACAAAAGTACATGACTCCATGTGTGATTTGAGATAGCGTATGGAGAAGCTAATACACCTTGGGAGAAGCAATTACTTATTACTTAATCTGCGCTTTTTATAAAAGCACTCCCTCCCTCCTATAATGATCTTCCAGAACACTATTTCAACTTCACAGAAATTTATATTTATTTGTGATTTTTCATGGCCTATATGATAAAATAAAATATTCTTGTCACCACTTGTTTTGTTGAACTTTTGGTGTAGTTTTTAAATATGCATGTTTTATTTTTTATTTCTATACCAATATTTAAATAAAATAGATTGAAAAAACTTGGGATTTTTCTTCGTTTTGCGAACCGGGAAGATCATTATAGGACGTAGGGAGTATATTCTAAATGATTTTTAAAACATTTGTTTTCGTACAGATTGCATGTAATTTGGATCTATTGGTTATCACTTATCACAAGGAAACACATAAAATCAAGATAAGTATTGTTTTCTGCAATTTTCGGGAGTAAACTTTGAAATCATTCACTGAGCTAAAAGAAGGAATATATCTTGAAAGAATAAAAATTAATTTTTTAGAATAATATATCCTGGAAGTATTAAATTTGTTAGATAAATAATTAGCCGTGCAACGCACGGGGTGGAGGGTTTACCGCGGGAATTGGTGGGGTAAAAACTGTTAATTTAATGAACGGGGCACCGGAGCACCCCGGGTCATCCAATGACATTGATTGAATCAACGTCATGGTAACGGGGCTCTATTTTTATTGGTGTTAACTTAAATATTTATTAAGTGCTTATCTATCATATAAATTCATTTTTTCATTTCTCACCCATCTACTTTACTTGAATCCAATTTATTTATATCATACGGAGTAAAATTTATTCATTGTTTCTTTAAAATAATAGTTAAATATTCTTACCGTGCAACGCACGGAAAATGTTAAAGATTCTGATTTACAATAAAGACCTTCCTTCATGTAACCAAATTACGAATGTAGCTTATAAAGAAGTGTTGCAAAACTTATAACACTTCCAAAACTCTCCTTTTTTTCTATTTTTTTCTTATTCAAAACATGAGTAATTATATGTCAATTAATAGCCCGTGCATGAATTAAAGAAGTGCATTGAATGGTGTGTAAAAATGAAAGTGCACAAATAATCTGGGACGGAGGGAGTAATTTTTTAAAAAGTCAAACATTAAAGTTTTTCATGAAAAAGTAGGAAGAAAGTATATGTGTTAATCAAATATTTTATTATTCTAAAAAATAAAAAATAAATTAAAATAAAATCATTGGTAATTCGGTCGGTTCGATTTTTTGTTATAAAAAAACCAAAAACCGACCGAAAAACAAAAAAAACCGAAAATACTTTTTACATGAAAACCAAAACCGAAACTAAACTTTCAGTTATTTGATTTTCGGTTTTTGGTTTCGCGGTCGAGGCTAGGGGTGGACACGGTACGGTTCCGGTTCCGGAACCGCCGGCTCCGGTACCGCCACCCCGAGTAACCGGATAGTATACCGTGCCGGCCGGTACCGGTTCCGTTTCCCGGACCGGCGGTTTCGGTACCGGACCGGCCGGTTTCGCCCCCCCCCCTATTTTTTTTTTAATTTTTAAATTATAAAAAATTGCAATTGTAAAATTGCAATTGTTTAAAAATTGCAATTGTTTAAGAAAAGAATGCATTTGTTTCGCCCCCCACCTTTTTTTTAACTTTTTTGCATTTCAAATCAAAAAAAAAAAAAAAAAATTTATACCGGTACCGGAACCGGACCGGTACCGCCGGTACCGGTACCAAAAAATAGGTACCGGTACTGCCGGTACCGGTACCAAAAAATAGGTACCGGAACCGGTACCGAAAGTGGCGGTACCGGTACCGGTTCCCGGAACCGGTGACACGGCGACCTTGCCGGTGACGGTGGCGGGTACCGGCGTTACCGTTGCCGGTGACGGTACCGTACCGGTACCGTGTCCACCCCTAGTCGAGGCATATTGGAAATTACCGGGCCGATTAGAAGGGGAGGTAGGAATCGTCAATTTTACGAAAGGGGCACCCCGTTACCCGACAATTGTAATTAGTAACCTTAAAATTTGCCTACTCATTAATGGTGTTCCCAACCGAAATCAAAATTGCTTTTTTAAACGTTAGGAGTACATTCATAACTCTTTTTTCAATTGTTATAAAGTAATATAATGGTGACCTATAAAGTAAAAACTTGAATACTCCTTATTTAGGGAATGAAAATTTGCAAGCAAAATGAACTTACCTCATACGGCTGGTAAGTACAGCGTATGCAATACGTATTTCACAAACTGCCCACCCACCAAAAACTGAACCCCAAAAACTCCTCAAAAGTCAAGCATGTTCACTCACTCCGCGACATTGCCAAACGCTGCCCGGCAGGTTTCAGAGGCCACCACACGGCGTCGTTTCGCCTCCCTCCTTCTCCACTTCTCAGTTTCCTTAGCTTAGTCCTCATTGGTATGCGGTGTTAGAACGATGGCCGGCGCCGATTCTAGTCAGAAGAGCCGGCCGGGCCCGTGGCCGCCCGCTCCGGCGGCGGCAATGCCGGCTTCTTCCTGGGCGAAGCGAACTGGGTTCCGCCCCAAGTTGTCCGGGGAGGCCAATGCCAGTAACTCCGGACAAATTGAGCTCCGGCCGCAAGATCAGCCCCCTGCCAGGGCCAGGGCCAAGGACGGGGAGGCGAATCTGGATCTTGAAGCGGGGAGGATTAGGGCGGGGAATGATAGGGTTAACGGGGAGCAGCAAGCGGAGAGGGATCGACCGGAGAGAAAGCGGAGGGAATCGGACGGCGGCGGAGTGGCGCAGAAGAGTGTGGGAGCCAATGAACAGGTGGTGGCTGCCGCTGCGACGGCGGAGCCTGCGAGTAAGGCTGGTGGCGGGCACCAGCGGCAGCCCAGTCGAAGGACATTGAGGAGCGAAGAGGCCGTTGATATGCTTCCGCAATCCGTGGAGGATGATGGTTTCCAGAGGCATTCGCATTTGAAGTACGAGCTTAGAGATTCCCCTGGTTTTGGTGAGCTTGGGCTTGGGTTTTCAGGATTTAATTCAATTTCATTTGATTTGATCCTTGTGGCATCCAACAAACTCTTTCTAACTGGCCTCCTTATTTGAGCAGTGTTCTTTTTCTTAGAAACGAACTTATTTCTGATGATGGTAATGATAATAATAATAATAATAATAATAATAATAATCATAATAATCATAATAATAATAATAATAAAACCAAATAATAATAATATTATTATTATTATTGTTAGGGTGTTGCTATATTCACTCCCATTTATGCTAAGTCCACTTCATATATAACAAATAGTCAATTTTCCCTTTAAAAATACAAAAGAGGACATTTAGATGCAACCCACTATTTAAGGACAAAATTGTCCATTTAATATAAAAGGAGTGAATTTAGTCAAAAAAGGGGCGAGTTTAGCAACACCCTTATTGTTGTTGTTGTTCTTATTATTATTATTATTATTATTATTATTATTATTATTATTATTATTATTATTATTATTATTATTATTATTAATTGTAACAATTGGGTTAGTATTCAGAGAACCAAATGATTATATATACTTACTCCTTGTTTGTTTGCTAGTACAAGGATAGAAACTAAATCAATTGTTTTATACTGTTGATATTTTGGTCCTGCTTGACTAAATAGTGTTCAGGAATAAAAAGTTAAAAATCATTTTATGGACCTCAATCACTAGTTTAACGTTGCTGTTGAGTTTGATTCTTTAATATGGTATTTGAGCACGATACCTAGAGGTCAAGAGTTCAATTCTCGAGCAAACAAATCTCGTCTGCACGTGATGAGGCGTATTAGATTATAAAGCAATGCAGAAAAATAAAGTTTTCCCTCTTTCCCTCAAATTGCCATCTAAAGCACTGTTTAATTATGTTTAACATGTTTCAGTTCCTATTGGGTTCTATGGCTTGCAGCATTATCTCTCAATATTGGGTTCATTGGTACTAATTCCACTCGTGATCGTCCCGGCAATGGGTGGCACCTATGTGAGCACTTGTAATTCATTCCTCATTCTACACTTGAAGAGTTCCTTTTATTGTTATTCTGCGAATAAATGTTTTTACTAATTCAATTTGGTGCAAGTAGGAGGATACATCAAATGTTGTCTCCACTGTGCTTTTTGTGTCCGGAGTTTCGACACTTTTGCACACATTTTTTGGCTCGAGGCTGCCACTAATACAAGGTCCTTCATTTGTTTATCTTGCACCTGCACTTGCAATAATCAACTCCCCAGAATTCTTAAGATTGAATGGAAATGTACGCTTCTGAAATTCTTTGTGAAAATACACTGTTTTGGCATCCTCAGCTCCTTTTTCCCATTGAGATTGTACTTTTTTGTGCGTGCAGAATTTTACGCATATCATGAAAGAGTTACAGGGGGCCATAATAATTGCTTCATCGTTTCAAGCAATACTGGGGTACAGTGGGCTTATGAAGATATTTTTGAAGTAAGATACCCTAATCACCTCTTCTATTTTATATCCATATGACTATAATACTATATCTGGAAATCAATTGCTGTTTGGGCATTTGAGGGCTTCTATTGTTAAGGGCTCAAGTCAATATATTAAAAATGAACTTGTTCACCATTGTATTCTTGTTTGAGTTGTTTCAATAAATATATTAACATACCTTATAATGAAACTGGGATCTGATTTTCATAGAGGTTGTTCGAAACCTTTACCGGCTCTGTGTGTGCATCTTGTCTGACTTAACTAGATCCATTTTTTG